AGTGTGACGCCTCATAATTATTATTAATAAATAATAATTAAATTCATTATACAGACATTTAAAAATGTCATAGAAATTATAATTTAAACAATAAAATGCAAATAATAAGCATAGAGTTCAAAAATATCCATTTGGAATATTGAATATTATATATATATATTAGTAAACGCATAAAATGTCTCAAAAAATCTCTAAATTTATTAAAAACCTGCTTAAAATGTTCAAAATAAATCAAATCATATAAATACAAGGCGATTATATTGCAATAACAAAGATAAATAACATTTGTAATATAATAGAAAAAATGGATTAAAATTTTCTAAGTTGATGAAGGTGTTCGTGTAATAATTGGGAAATTTCTAAGTTAATGAACGTGTTCTTGTAATGTTCCCTTATATTGGGGCGTTGTCGGAGACACATACCCAAGGTTGTACATATATATGGGGTGGTCGGCTGACCGACTGCTAGTACTAAGGTTGCACAATGACTAGTCCTATATTAGGGACTTAACATAGTAAGGTCTGATGAACCAAAGCATTAATATAGAAGGTCTCTATGATGCATAAGCATTATGATAGCAGAGTTATGACTTGAAGTCCCATATGAATAAGACATACAGTAGTATGGTCTATGAAATAAAGCAAATATGTGGAAGGTCTCAAATATGTAAAAGCATTATATTGAAAGAAATGGGACTTGAAAAGGATTATTATAGTGGCGTGTAGGTTGCTTCGCAGCCTCTGAGACCGAGGTAAACTTGGACTCACTAACCGATGTGTCCTAGACATATCATCTTAGTGCCGGTGGTAAGCGGGTTTGTTGTAGCAATACGACTTGCCCGTGGACATCGCACACCCCTACCGGTTGTGGGCGGCGTCTTAGCGCATAGCGTTATGATACGTCGGCTATCTTTCGGATTAGGGTGAGTGTGTTTGGTAGTACTTTTAAGTGCAGCAAGCATACTCAACTTCATGTCTTAGTGCAATAGCGCTATGATACGTGGAGTTTTGGCTACTGACGTCTTAGTACCGTACTACTATGATACGTCGGTGGTATTTTTAGTTAACAACATTATCAAATTTTGTTACCAAAGTCGATAGGGATCATGTGGGTGTGTTGTGAGGGGGCGCCATCCGTATGATAGTTGCATTGATGCTTACTGCTACTTGCAGTATTGCGTCTTGTGATGGATCTGCGGGTGTACTGCACCTGATTCGATGCATCTTGTGGTTCTGGTCGATGGAGGTATGCGGGTGGTGATGTCTGCTGGGACTGTATGAGGGACCTTGGGATGGTGTAAGCCCGACGATAGTCGTATTGATGCTTGTTGCATTCTGTAGCATTGTGTCTCTACGATGGTTGTTTGGCGGGTCGCTATTCTCAATGGCGCTCTCTGCGTCTTGGTTTGACTCACAACCTAAGTAGCTTTGCCCAAGTCGGGTCCCTTCATAGCGGGGCTGCAGACTGTCTGCCCTCCATGATGTTTTATATAACAACTTAATAATATATCTCTATAAAGTTCCCACCTTTGAGAGATTGAAGGCAACTTGTTGGTGGGTGAGACAAACATGATCGAAAAATGCATATACTCAACGTCAGTGACACAAACCCTTTCTGATGGCGAATTATTAATATTATCTTATAACTGCCTATTGGCTATATCTGCCATTGTATTGGTTGGTGGAGCATATGTGTTGACCTCATGCGGGTGGTAGCTGGAGGGAGAATCTGAGGAGGCTCTCAAGGCTGCGGCCGAAAGCCGCGCAACGTGGGACCCCATTCCCTTGAGGTGAGCGGTAGACTCATGACACGCTCTGCGGCCAATTGGCCGTGCTGACCATGCAATTGGTGGTGATGCCTTACACTTACATCACGTCTGCAGGAACGGCGGTCTGGCAGGTGGTGGCGCTCACGGAAGGCTTTTTATGGTCAGTGTGCCTATTGTTGCCTAACCCGTGTGACGTACATTCACTGTGACTGGATTTGATCGTATTCTGTATGGCGTTTACACGCATTGACATGCGCGACTTCGGTCGATGTTTGTGCTTACGCACTATCAAGGGGCCAAGTCCTCTTTTACTGGTTCGCCAGTTATTTTGCTGTGGACTACGGTCCAGTTCCCAACTTTGCGTACCCTTCGGGGGGAGCGCATTAAAATGGTTGGCGCTCACCGTGCGCGGCGTGTGTGGGGCCGTGTACCTCCTCCACATTTTTTTTAAAATGTGGGAGAGCGAAGCCCTTGTAACTGGTATTTGATATAAATATTGTGAGCCTTTTCTAAGCGGGAAGGGATTAATTAATAAGGAATTGACTGTTGTGAACCAGATACAAGTGGAATAGGGACAATTTATTGTTCTTAACCTTTTTTGAGCTCTGTCTTCGTGAACGGGGTTCTTTAGCTTATAAGACTCTACCAACAGCTTTCGATTGCTCTCGTGAATATTCATTCTTCCAAGAAACACCTAAAAGAACTAAGTTACTATACAAACACAACGTAAAAAAGGGTCCTAACTAAGACGATCACGCCATAAATTTATTAAACGGCCTATATTTAAACCTTTAGAAAGATCAAGTTATACTGGTCACGTAAATTAGATATATTTATATATCTTACAGATATAGATTCTAAAGAAATACAAGTATAAGTGGATATATAGTGGAAAAGAAAAAAGATGGGGGGGGGTTCGTTACAATTTGGTGCCGTGACCAGGATAGAGGTTAAATTTTAAATAGGAGGCCGGTAATATAAAATTATGAGGTAGGCTATATGCCTACAATTTGTTGTCCGTGAAATGGAGAGGTGTCTTGGAGAGTGGTGTTTGCTGGGGGTGGTTGAGAGTCTGGGGGTGGGGCTTAAACATTAAAATTGAGTAATAATATAGGAGGTGTGTGCATAACGGAGCGAAATAATAAAAAGTGAAATAAGTGGACGCTAATAAAGACTCAATTAAACTAAGCGAAGGACACAACAGTTGTAAAAAAAAAAAAAAAAAAAAAAAAAAAAAAAAAAAAAAAAAAAAAAAAAACTGCAATACTATATATTATAAAGTGAAATAAGTGGAAAAACTCAATTAAAGTAAGTGAAGGACACAAAAAGTGTAAAAAAAAAAAAACAAGTGGAAATAAAAATTAAAAATGGCTAAAAATAAGAAAAAATCAACCTCAATTAAGGCTAAGCCTAAAGATGAGATGAAAATGCTTCAGAAATTAATTAAGAATGCAGTGAAAACCTTTGAGGTTAAAATAAAGGATCTTGAGGAAAAATTTATTAACCAAACGAAAGATTACCAAATTAAAATAAATCAAGGAGAGGTGTCCGGAGCGAGCACCTCTCATGTAAATGATCCTAGACAAAATATTGTATATAATGTACATAATGTAACAATAGAAAAGCCGAAATTTGGAAATGGAAATACTCATCCAGTATCATTTTTGGAAGATCTCACCAATTATTTAAAGAAAGTTCCATCTAATGGTCTCGAAATTTCGATTGCACAAGAGTGCTTAGTAGGTGAAGCCAAGTATTGGGCTCGCATTAATAATGTGCGTTGGACAACTTTTGATAATTTTAAAGCTGACTTCCTAAGAGTGTTTTGGGGTGAAGAAGAACAAAATAAAGTAAAGAGATTCCTTGTGCAAAATAAATGGAATAGAAGTACACACCCCACCATGGTTAGTTATTTTCTTTATGTGGTTGAGAAGGCACAAACATTATCATATCCGATACCTGAAAAACAATTAGTAACTGATGTCATCAGACATTATCCTAAAACTGTGCAGCAATTATGGAGAATAGCTAAAATTGAGACAATAATAGACACGACAGATTTCTTAAGAAACTTAGATGACATCGACAAACAAGATGAAGGTCGTGAACCTTACTATAATGAGAAAAGGAGGAAGTTTAATAATAATACGGAGCAAAAACATAAAGAAATACAACGATCATACAAAACATGGCGTAAACCCGAAGAGGGAAAAAAGAAGGTTAATGAAGTACATGAAATACATTTCACTAATGACCAACCTGATGTTACGGCCCCTGAGCCAAATTTAGAGCTGTAGAGGTCGAACTAGTTCCCGATTCGACCCCTTACAATGTAAAAGGGAACAAAGCATTAAACATGTTATTAAAACTGGGTTGGCGACCTGGTCAAACATTGGGTAAAAACAATAGAGGGTTGCGAAAACCTATTACTTTAAAAGCAAATTTTAACAGAGAAGGCCTTGGTTATAACGACAATGTAAATAGCATATTAAACACCTTAAAAGCCAGGTCGGACTTGCCCATAACGGAGTTATTCGTGCAAACCGTCTTCGAGGAAGACGAAGATAAATATCAAAGGGAATTTATAGGGAATATGAGATCTGAAATTAAAGTTTCAATATTTGACAAAGAAATAGACGCGCTCCTCGACACTGGGAGCGATGTTACATGCATTTCAGAAAGTTTATATTTACAAATTAAAGAAAATAATCGTAAAATATCAATAATGCCAGTTAAAGCAATGCAAATAAAAAGTGCTGTTGGGCAGCGCAGCACAAAAATACAACAGATGATCATATTGCCTATAAAGATAGATGAAGTAGTCTTTGAAACACAAACTTTAATTGTAGGTAATTTAATAAGACCTTTAATATTAGGCTTCGACTGGCTCAAGAGAAATAAAATATTGATTGATTTGAGAAATACTACTGTTGGAATAGAATTTAAAGTGAAAAACAAAGACTTCTTTATACCTTTCAAATATAATAATGAATCTGTATTACATAATAACTGCATCAAACAATGTACCGATGATCCCTTAATAAATATAAAAATAGGATCTACATTGGAGGTCTCTGAAAGGGCAAAACTTAGTAAGGTTTTGGAAAAGCATAAGAATATGTTTTCGAGCAAATTGGGAAGAGCCAATTGCTATGAGCATAAAATTGAAATGATCGATGATGAACCTATAGTTACTAGGTCCTATCCCATTCCATATGCATATAGAGCGAAAATGGAAGAAAAGTTAAATGAAATGGAACAAGCTGGTATCATCACAAGGACATCAACGCCTTACAGTAGTCCATTGACATTCACTCTTAAAAAAGACGGCTCAATTAGAGTTCTGCTTGATGCCAGAAGCATAAATAAGAAAATGGTTGCAGAAACAGAGAAACCACCTATACAATTAGATGTTTTGAATTCATTTCACGGAGCGAATTATATCACTACCATTGACTTAAATAATGCATATTTTCAAATTCCGATAAATAAAGATGGTAGAAAATATACTGGATTCACATTCAATGGAAAGTCATATGTATATAATGTTTTGCCGCAAGGATTAAAAACATCAGTAGGAAGCTTTAGCAGAGCCATGAATTTAATATTAGGACCAGAAGTCCAAGAATTTTGTGTGAACTATTTAGATGATCTAGCCATTATTACAACAGGAACGTTAGATAAACATTTGGAGCACATTGATATTGTTTTAAGTAAATTGAACAAAGCTGGCTTAACGTGTAACTTGCAGAAATGTGAATTTATTTGTAAAGAAATTAAAATGCTGGGTTTTATAATTTCAACAGAAGGCATAAAGACAGATCCCGATAAGATTCGAGCGATCCAAGAGTTTCCAGCACCTAAAAAGATTAAACAATTAAGGGCCTTTTTAGGTCTATGCAATTTTTATAGAAGGTTTATACCAAATTACAGCGAGAGCATAATACCGCTCTGTGAATTACTTAAAAAGGGACGAAAGTTCCAATGGAGCGGTAAAGAACAGAAGGCATTTGATTTTATAAAACAACAATTTATTAATACAATACAATTGCATCATCCAGACTTTAATAAGCCGTATTATTTACAAACAGATTGTTCCGGTGTGGGTATGGCCGGAGTACTATATCAGATAGATGATAATAATGAAATGAGAATTTTAGGCTATCATAGTAAAGCCTTAAAAGGCCCCGAATTAAATTGGTCTGTTACTGAACAAGAGTTTTATGCTGTAATAAGCTGCCTAAAGAAATTTGAAACATATTTGAGGGGCAGTAAAGTAATAATACTAACTGATCATAAAGCATTATTGTTTATTAATAATATGAAGTTATTCAATGGTAGAGTAACCCGATGGATTTTGTATATAGAACAATTTAATTATGAAGTACAGCATATATCGGGTAGACGTAATATTGTTGCAGATGTGCTATCACGTTATCCTCCTGATGGCGATTTAATACAAGAGGATAAAAATAATAGTTTAGAAATTGCTTACACAAAGAGCGAACCGAATATTGAGTTGATAGAAAAATTAAAATCCTTAACAGTATATCAATTACAAGATTCAGAGTCGTTGGCTATTATTGAAAAGTTAAAGACATTAAATACTTCCATAATAAAACAAAACAATAAATTTAAAAGGTATAGTTTGAAAAATGATGTATTATATTACAAAACGAATTTACAAGAAGTAATATATTTACCTAAAGCATTGAGACAAGATAATATAAATCAAGTGCATGTCGAAATGGGTCATCAAGGACCCTATAAGGTAATTAAATATGTGAGAGACAGATTCTTTTGGAAAGGTTTAACAAAAGATATTAAAAACCAATTAAGGGCTTGTCATTTATTTCAGTTATCTAAGAAAAGCAATATAACATATGTGGGTCCCTGCAAATCTATAATAACAGAAAACATTGGCGATATAGTCATGGCAGACTTATATGGACCGCTTGTATCAGGTACCTTTGGGTACACTTTCATATTTGTCATTCAAGATTCATTCAGTAAATTTATCAAATTATATCCTTTAAAACAGTCAACAGCAAAGTCTGTTGTAACAAAAGTAAAGCATTTTGTTGAGATTATAAAGCCCAAGGCAATAATGACAGATAATGGAAAACAGTTCGTAAGTAATCACTGGAAACAATCAATGAGTGAATTAAATATAAAGCCAATATATACCACAGTTAGAAATCCTAGACCAAATACAACAGAGCGAGTAAATAAAGAGTTGAGCAGATTATTTAGGACGCTTTGTCATACTAACCACAAAGATTAGGCGTTAATATTGCCGAAATTAGAAGAATTGTATAATAATTCTTATCACAATAGTACAGGCTTCACGCCTTGTGAGATTCTTTATGGTGAGTCTAATGAGATATCTTTTGACAAAGTAATTTCCAAAAGTAAAGACAAACATAATGTCGAACAAATTAGACAACAAGTGCGTAAAAATTTAAAAGAGGCAAGTCGAATAAGAAACACAAAATTTGATAAGCGAAATAGATTAATAAAATATAATATTGGTGACTTAGTAAAAATTTCAAGATCTAGTAGATCAGACGCTGATAATAAAGTTATGAGTAAGTTCAATTTGGCATATGAAGGACCTTATGTAATAGCAGCCGTACCATTTGACAATGTATATACCTTAGCAAATCCAGAGACAAACGAAATTAGAGGAATTTTCAATGCTATTCACTTATTAAAATATTTTAAATAATAATTTCTTTTTGTATAAATTAGAGTAATTAAATAAATATTGTAACATAAAAGGGTTTTGTGGGTGGCCCATGGAAATAATTGTTTAAGTTAAAGGTCTAAAATTATTAAAGTTATGAGCAAGAGATTTGTTATATGATAGTAGAACATTATTAATATATAATGAAGAGTTGTAAATATAGATCGTAAGATAATTTTTTAATCATTTTTATTAAATAAATATGGGAGTTGGGTCAGGGCGAATGGCTCAAACACATTTATCCTATGTGGTATCGAACTGACCTCAACAAATATCAAACTGGATTGTATGCACATAAAGTGTGACACTATCGAAATAATGTTTCAAAGATTTAAAGATAAATTAATAAAATAAGAAATCGACAATTGACTGCAAACTTTATTAACAACACGATATACAATAACTTGAATTATGGTGTTATCACATTGTGATAATTGTGGTTGAAGGGGTGTTGGTGGCGGCCATTCTCTGGGGCAGGGGGATTTGATAACATATGCCGTATTGTAACAGATTAAAAGAGGAAAGAACAGATATATAAATAATTATTTGAGTGTAGTGTATATGCTCTCAAAATATTAAATTTTATATTAACGACTCCACTATGTGGATCATTAACATAAAATTTGGGGGTGGATTGTGACGCCTCATAATTATTATTAATAAATAATAATTAAATTCATTATACAGACATTTAAAAATGTCATAGAAATTATAATTTAAACAATAAAATGCAAATAATAAGCATAGAGTTCAAAAATATCCATTTGGAATATTGAATATTATATATATATATTAGTAAACGCATAAAATGTCTCAAAAAATCTCTAAATTTATTAAAAACCTGCTTAAAATGTTCAAAATAAATCAAATCATATAAATACAAGGCGATTATATTGCAATAACAAAGATAAATAACATTTGTAATATAATAGAAAAAATGGATTAAAATTTTCTAAGTTGATGAAGGTGTTCGTGTAATAATTGGGAAATTTCTAAGTTAATGAACGTGTTCTTGTAATGTTCCCTTATATTGGGGCGTTGTCGGAGACACATACCCAAGGTTGTACATATATATGGGGTGGTCGGCTGACCGACTGCTAGTACTAAGGTTGCACAATGACTAGTCCTATATTAGGGACTTAACATAGTAAGGTCTGATGAACCAAAGCATTAATATAGAAGGTCTCTATGATGCATAAGCATTATGATAGCAGAGTTATGACTTGAAGTCCCATATGAATAAGACATACAGTAGTATGGTCTATGAAATAAAGCAAATATGTGGAAGGTCTCAAATATGTAAAAGCATTATATTGAAAGAAATGGGACTTGAAAAGGATTATTATAGTGGCGTGTAGGTTGCTTCGCAGCCTCTGAGACCGAGGTAAACTTGGACTCACTAACCGATGTGTCCTAGACATATCATCTTAGTGCCGGTGGTAAGCGGGTTTGTTGTAGCAATACGACTTGCCCGTGGACATCGCACACCCCTACCGGTTGTGGGCGGCGTCTTAGCGCATAGCGTTATGATACGTCGGCTATCTTTCGGATTAGGGTGAGTGTGTTTGGTAGTACTTTTAAGTGCAGCAAGCATACTCAACTTCATGTCTTAGTGCAATAGCGCTATGATACGTGGAGTTTTGGCTACTGACGTCTTAGTACCGTACTACTATGATACGTCGGTGGTATTTTTAGTTAACAACATTATCAAATTTTGTTACCAAAGTCGATAGGGATCATGTGGGTGTGTTGTGAGGGGGCGCCATCCGTATGATAGTTGCATTGATGCTTACTGCTACTTGCAGTATTGCGTCTTGTGATGGATCTGCGGGTGTACTGCACCTGATTCGATGCATCTTGTGGTTCTGGTCGATGGAGGTATGCGGGTGGTGATGTCTGCTGGGACTGTATGAGGGACCTTGGGATGGTGTAAGCCCGACGATAGTCGTATTGATGCTTGTTGCATTCTGTAGCATTGTGTCTCTACGATGGTTGTTTGGCGGGTCGCTATTCTCAATGGCGCTCTCTGCGTCTTGGTTTGACTCACAACCTAAGTAGCTTTGCCCAAGTCGGGTCCCTTCATAGCGGGGCTGCAGACTGTCTGCCCTCCATGATGTTTTATATAACAACTTAATAATATATCTCTATAAAGTTCCCACCTTTGAGAGATTGAAGGCAACTTGTTGGTGGGTGAGACAAACATGATCGAAAAATGCATATACTCAACGTCAGTGACACAAACCCTTTCTGATGGCGAATTATTAATATTATCTTATAACTGCCTATTGGCTATATCTGCCATTGTATTGGTTGGTGGAGCATATGTGTTGACCTCATGCGGGTGGTAGCTGGAGGGAGAATCTGAGGAGGCTCTCAAGGCTGCGGCCGAAAGCCGCGCAACGTGGGACCCCATTCCCTTGAGGTGAGCGGTAGACTCATGACACGCTCTGCGGCCAATTGGCCGTGCTGACCATGCAATTGGTGGTGATGCCTTACACTTACATCACGTCTGCAGGAACGGCGGTCTGGCAGGTGGTGGCGCTCACGGAAGGCTTTTTATGGTCAGTGTGCCTATTGTTGCCTAACCCGTGTGACGTACATTCACTGTGACTGGATTTGATCGTATTCTGTATGGCGTTTACACGCATTGACATGCGCGACTTCGGTCGATGTTTGTGCTTACGCACTATCAAGGGGCCAAGTCCTCTTTTACTGGTTCGCCAGTTATTTTGCTGTGGACTACGGTCCAGTTCCCAACTTTGCGTACCCTTCGGGGGGAGCGCATTAAAATGGTTGGCGCTCACCGTGCGCGGCGTGTGTGGGGCCGTGTACCTCCTCCACATTTTTTTTAAAATGTGGGAGAGCGAAGCCCTTGTAACTGGTATTTGATATAAATATTGTGAGCCTTTTCTAAGCGGGAAGGGATTAATTAATAAGGAATTGACTGTTGTGAACCAGATACAAGTGGAATAGGGACAATTTATTGTTCTTAACCTTTTTTGAGCTCTGTCTTCGTGAACGGGGTTCTTTAGCTTATAAGACTCTACCAACAGCTTTCGATTGCTCTCGTGAATATTCATTCTTCCAAGAAACACCTAAAAGAACTAAGTTACTATACAAACACAACGTAAAAAAGGGTCCTAACTAAGACGATCACGCCATAAATTTATTAAACGGCCTATATTTAAACCTTTAGAAAGATCAAGTTATACTGGTCACGTAAATTAGATATATTTATATATCTTACAGATATAGATTCTAAAGAAATACAAGTATAAGTGGATATATAGTGGAAAAGAAAAAAGATGGGGGGGGGTTCGTTACAATAGGTCAAGGCGTCCTTAAACGTCTCGTGGTGCCCGAGCCTCACATCAGCTCTGACTTCAAGGTCGCGGATGCCGTCGATGAATGTCTGCACCAGGTTCCCTACAATAAGCGCAGGTACAGACTGGTACGCTTTTCGAACCAGCTTCTCCACCTCAAGGGCCCACTGCTGCAGGTTTTCGTTACTGCGTTGCACGCGATCTTTGAGCTGCGCACGAAAGACGTGTTCCAGGTGAGCGTCGCCATATCTCGCCTCCAATGCCTCAAGGAGCTGCTCGTAAGTCACTTCCTTACCGAGAGCTTCCAGAACAGTTAATGCCTGGTCGCGCAGGCCTAGGGTGAGAGCAGTCATGGCCTGACTTTTATTCCAGCCGTTCGCTTTCATGACAGCCTCGAACTGGATTTTATAGGCCGACCAGGAAGAAGTCCCGTCGAACGGTGGCACTTTGAATCCACGTAGCGAAGGTGTTGTAGCTACCACGGGAGCTGTAACTCCATCCCCAATTTTGAGGTCGTTTAGCGTTTTCTTCACGTCAGCCATCACATTGTCAACCCGATTGTACACTTGGTCGATTCGGGTTTCAGCTTCCGACAGGCGGTTGTCATATTGAGCAACCTTATCCTTCACCTCACTTATTTCTTTCCCGAAGGTAGCGTGAAGGTCCTTCATGAGAAGTATCTGCTCTTCCTTATCGCGTTTGAGCTGCTCTTCCAACCGACGGTCCTGTTCCTCCTGTTGGCGGGCTTGTTCCTCCTGTCCGCGCTGCAGCTGCTCTTCCAACCGACAAGCCTGTTCCTCCTGTCGGCGGGCCTGTTCCTCCTGTCGGCGAGCTTGTTCCTGCAGCATCATCATCAGAGTACCTAAGTCAGGTGCTGCAGATGCAGGAGCTGCTGACGGGCCGGCCTCCGTGGTCGGCAACTGGCCTACCGACGTCTGTAACGTTGCACCACCAAATCGTTTCTGGTCCGTCTCCTGTTGGCGTTGACTTCGGGTACGGATACCCTCGGTGTCGTCTTTAGGTAAAATCAGCATATTTGATCCCACTTCTGACACAAATTATTACGAGCTTGGGGTTCGAGACAATTAAAAACTGCTGATTGAATTACCAAAATTGACACTTTAATTACACAACACTAATTACAATCTAAAATCACACTAATAATAAAACACAGTTCGCCGTTATTTCGCTTCGAAGTATTCTCTTGTATCGCCA